GGTTGATTCATTAGTCAATTCTAGTTTTTAATCTAGTGATAATTTTCCAGGAATGTGATGAATCCAAGATGCATAAAGACTCGCCGTATATGCTGTTCTACGAACAAGAAAACCTCCAGACAGGGAAATTCCTTCCTAAATTCAAAGACCAAACGCCCGATACGAACAGTGACGATGAAGAATATGAAAATGACGTTAAAAGAATGTGTACAATTCAATAACGCATGGAGCGCACTTTGGTGAAAACCACAGGAATCCCAATTACGAACAATGATAATTCCACAGGAAGCCCACTTATAAAGTTTCCTACCACAGGTATCTCAATTCAATTCATTGTTACAGGAGAGTTTCCTGTGGTAATAAATTAAGACATAAAACTGACAAATATGGATGTACGTGTAGAAAAAAATATGTGGAGAGAAAAATTCTAGTCGAAATCTAGACTGAGGGCCTGATTATATGAAGCGGGCTGACCCAGCTCAACGGGCTGGTTTCCCTGGGGACACAAAACAAAAGAAATCAGCCCAGTCAACCAGGCTCTGAGACCTCGCTTCGAGGTCTCTTTCCATGAGTATTTCTGAATATGCACATCCATATATGGAAGTAACACGTCATAATAAGGGAAGATGCCACAGGTAGCCCAATGCATGGCAGGTGGCCTTTAAGAAATTGTAAAATACTGACTGAATATTATGCCAAATGTAAAATAAATTGCAAATTTCCATGTCAATAAGATAATACAGATATACACACGARTTTTAGCTAAAATTATTTTATGGATATTTTTATGACAAACATTTAATTTGTGTAGTTTCGCTAAAAAAACCTTCGCATTCGCTGAGAATTCCTTGGCTACAAAATKTTAACCTCTGAAGTTGGATCTCTTTTGGGCTAATTTACTTGAATCTTTTTCAAACTATGATAAATGGAATTGAGTGGTTTTCAAAAACAACAAATAATTTGCTATTTAATGATTTATAATTTAAGAAGGAAAAGAATCAAATAAGCTCTCACTACTGTGTAGTAATAACTGTGTAAATTTGATAATGATTTCTCGAAGTTCTGAAAACCACTCTTGCATTTCGTCAAAGTCTGCAAGAGAGGGTATTACTTATTTACAAATAGTTTGCATGCCTGATCACTGAATCTTCAATTTTATATCTGAACTAGCAGACATGTATGGATTGTTTGATTTATATAACAGTTTGTCTTGAATAAAAACTTGCTATTCTTTCGACTTGTGGCATTATAATGAGATTTTCAGTACTTGATGCACGATATTTGAACTCTTCCTTGTCTTTTGTGCGGTATTTTGGAGGCCTTCTTATAAGTCTACACTTAAAAGCGATCACAATCGTGCATTTGCTTTAAATACATATGTAAATAATCTAGTATTTATTGTCGATCAATCAAAATCCATCTAAGATGATTAAGAAAACTTTTCAAGGCCAACTGACGGCGAATGTGAGGATCACGTGATCAGGTCTGCTTTTATAATTGTTTCTAGCCTATCATAGAGCTTTGTTTTAAGGATACTGAAAATGGCTTTCATTTTACTTAATTATTTTAACGTGTCAACACAATTTATCTTCACAAGCTCTTGATCAAGTTGATGCTTTGCGGGGTTGTTTTAAGGTATAGAAGTCTACAGCAATCTTTTATGAAGATTGTAATCAGCATCCTTCGCAGGAAACTATTCGCTTTTTTGTCATAACACAGAAAAGTAAGGTTAAAGCAAAGAATGCGGTAGGTCACCTACGGAGGAGGCTGGAGTGTTATCAATAGCGAACATTTATAGATACCGTTGTTGTCGTAAACCTTTGCATGAAAACAAATGCATTGTTGCCTTGCGCAAGGTATCTCTCGGGTCACTATCCACGAAACCAGCATTGCATAGACCTTTTCTGAAGTCGTACTGCATTGTGGTCTAGCTTCAGCACAAACAAGGCCATACTTGGCAGCATGGACAAAATATGTTTGTACTGAACCTTATAGTTTGCAATGCAAACCACTATCTCAGAAAAGGCCTATTTTGTCGTATTGTTGCACTTACCGTATTGCAAAATTGTTCTTTCTGTAAACGTGTTTTACCTGTTTGTCCTTTAAGTTGTCCTTGATCGTCTTCTAGTTCATTTTGCTTGTAAGTTGATTTGTAATGTTGACTGGAGTGTTTTTTTTTTCGGAATGCACAACTAGCTGGCGTGGGTACATCTTGACTGAGAAGATACTTAAAAACATACTTGGAATTTAACGATGATTATACAGCTAACTTTTCGTTCTAAATCAGAAGTGCTTCCGTTTGTCTCTGAATCAAATATTCCTGAGATATTTCACAGCCGGTACTTTTTTGATTCTTTACATTTATCGTTTGCTGTGTACCGTTCGACTTGATTGTCGTCTTTAGGCAGTTTAATAGTATTAAAATGGTAATCCAAAGGCCGAGTCACCACAGGAGACAAAAGAATCCCTTCCCTCCCCCTCCTCCGAACACATACTTAGTGTTAATGGGTCTTGAGGCATTAGTTTGACGTGCCCATAATCACTTAATACGATAGCAGTCCGTGTAACATTAAAGGTTCAAGTCCATCCAATAACCTTTGAAATCATTTCTTTTGTTTTACAAATGATCTTTTCCTGAACGGTGTTTTCTCGTTGTTTCAAAATCAAAAATGGCGAATTTTCGTTTGTGAGAAAAGTCGTGAAGGTTTTTGGATTTACGTTGGACTTTAAGGTGTCGACCGAGCAGGTTTAATGCGGAATTAGCTGTATAATATTTGTAATTCTCCAAGTACGCCTATTAGTTTTGCTATAATTTCATACGTAAATCAGAAATGATGCATTTCTACTGGTCTAAAGATGGGAATTAATAAACGAAACATCTCAATGCTTGCATGTTTTATGTTTTAATTGTCATAGAGTATTATGTACTCTCCTCTACAGTGGGTGTTTTTAAAAATGTGATACCTGCTTCTCAAAATTTGTGGCCAGTTATTACTTTGTGACCTCTACACACTCACCTACACATCACAGTTTTAGAAAATCTCACTAAGTCTTACTCGATATACCTCAGCTTCGCAAAGTTTCAATTCTACAGAATCTTTCCCGCCCAGAAGCAAAACGTTTGTTTGCTGTCAGATGTAATTTCACTTCTGTTAACTGAAAAGTTCACTTTCGTTATGTCATGATATTCTACTGATTTACATAGAAATGTCGCGGACATGCGCACCACGTTTTTAAAGTCCGTGCACACAGCCGTCAGGTGAGAGGGGAGCAAGGATGGCCGAGCGGTTAAAACGCCGGTCTATCACCGCTGTGGTCCTGGTTCGATTCCCGGTCCGGGACTATATGTGATTTGAGTTTGTGGGCTGGTTCTCTTCCTTGCTCCGAGGTCCGCTGGTTTTCCTCCCTCAGTCAAAAACTAGCTGTGAGGAGTGTCGTGTGGTAAAATAATGAATGTTGAGGTAGTGAGTGTGAGTGAATATATAGAGGGCCACAAGTTTATTAGTCTAGARAMTATTACGTGCTACCCTCTCAAAATAAAAGACTTTATTTATTTATTTATTTATTTTAGAGACGCGCGGGCGCGTACGCAATCCCGATGAATGAAGACCGAGCCTGGAAAAAATGGCCAAGGTAGTCGCTATTCTTCCACAGGAAGCCCATGTAGGTAGTCGGTTTGAAAAGAGATGAGAATCATAGACAGATAAGTTCGGGGTCATTTTCACTGTGTTCGCGTACCTATCAAGTTGAAATAACAGGTAGTTTTGATATGCGCTGACTTTATTTCACTAACGTTAGTTTAGCTCTTGTGTACATGATTTGACACTATTGAGGATGTTTATTTGACTTTAGCCTGAACTTTTATCATATCATTAACTTTAGAGATATTCTTTGGTATCTATGGTATTAATGCATGCCTCTTTTTTCGTGGATTAGTTCCGAATTTTTCGTACCCTTTTCATTCTCCAGTATCACGATTGAGATACTAGCTTGAAACGATGTCGCGGCTTTTTGGCGGAGGACATATTTGGTTTTCAAACTCTTGCTTGGTAACCTTACGGGGCCCCTTTGTCATTGATGAATTCAGAAACAAAAGTTTTGCGTCAATGTCATATTTGCTGTATATCGGATTAGTTTTGTAATCGCAAATTCGAGTTTGGACATCCTCTGGTAAAGCTTTGATACTTGGATCTTTACTAAGTATTGCAATCATTTCTTGGATCTCATCTAATGAATTAGGCTTGTCGACTTCATTTGCGATAGTCTGTGGGTCTGTTTGACCGTTTTGGAGTTTTTCCCTGACTACATCTACTGTTGCCTTGTTATTCATTAGACACACCTTGTTGTATCCTTTTGAGTTTGATGRAGATGCGACCCATWTTTGCCAACTTTTTTTGAGTTTTTGAAGCTACAATTAAACCAACAACAATGAACACAAGAATAAGCTCAGGTATGAGAAAACTAGTTTTTCTGATTATTGTTCTGACATGTTTTATAAAACTATGAATAGGAAATGGAGTCCTGTCACAGTTTTCATGTTTTTATAATGCAAGTCGTTTTTCTTCTTCTTTGTAAAAAGAAAATGGGAGTTTTTTCACCAATTCTTTAAAGAAAGCACAGAGGGTCATAAGAGGGTTATTTGGATATGGGATTTGCCTGTGGTTTAGTTTTCAAGTTAGGTTTCCTGTGGTAAATCTTCAAAGCGACATGTTCTAAAATGGAGTTCAGCACGATGCGAAGTCTGTGTTAAAACAATATTAATACTATATTTTTATTTCTACAGCTGGGATTGGGATTTGTCATTTGGAAATTGGGAATTGAGCGAAAAATTATGCTGTGATTTGGAATTTTGATAAAAAAAAGTTTATTTGGGGAAATGTTGCTGAATACCCTCGGGAACCTTTAAATAGTTTCACTTACCGAAGGTAGCAATTTCCCCTTTGTTTTTTCGGTGCATTTCTTTTCCTCATCTGTGTAACGGCCTTTCTCGTCAGTGTAAATGTTTGATAACGAATTTGTGCCTTTTTTGCAATTCTCTTTGACGTAGTGGATGAATTTCCCTTGTCGATGAAACAAACGAAAATGCATTAGACTTGCTTTTAGTCTAGCTTTGATTTGCGCGAGGTCATAGTTTTGTTGTATCTTGTTTTTTTGTTGCTGTATTTTATGTTGCTCATTTGTTTTTGTTTTTGTTTTGTGTTGTTTTTTAGTTTGTTTGTTTTTTTTTTGTTTTTTTGTTTTTGCTGTTTAGAAAGGACTAGCTAATAAGGAAAAAGTAAAAACTCCTAAGAAAACTTTGAAAAAAATAACAACAACAACAACAACAATAACTTTTTTCGACCTTTCTTGGACGGTTTTGAGCTTTACTTTTTAATCAAACTAAATTATTCCGTTTCCCGCCACAGTACGACTTTCCCTGTGCATTGCGAACTTTATATTCTAACGATGAGGTTAGGCTTAACCTCAAATCGGAGAAGATTTGAATTTCTAGAGCTATTAATGTCAACATTTTTTCATGCTTTCTTTTGTTTTTGGTAAGGTCTNCACACAATGATAGATACCTGAGAAAAATTGACTTAGGTGTGATCAAAAGGTATCTATCAATGTGTGGTGTGAACAAAAGGTATCTATCAATGTGTGGTGTGAACAAAAGGTATCTATCATTGCAGGCTCAACTCCTGTCTCTCTCTAAGGCTCGGTTACTTTTCAAGATGGCGCTGAGAACCAACAGATGATTGATGTGCTTCACTTTGGAATTTCAGAACAGGAGAAACTGCTCATAACAAATAGCAAATATCTTTAATAGAAACTGCAAAGCATTGAAGAGAAGTAATCTTAAGAAGCGGCCATTACCACAGGGAACCGAAACAATTATGCAACCGTTGGCACCTTTCGATGGCTTTATCAGGTGTAGTTTTTTTCTCACCTGCAATGATGAAGCAATTTTAGCATTATCTTCTGTTTGTTGTACTACTTTAGAATTTAGCATCATGTCCTTAAGACGAGCCATGGCATCTAATATTGGTTCCTGGAAAGCGTAACTCTTTATTCTATTGAATTCCTAAAAGGAAAGGAAAAAATGCTTTTATCTTCTGCTACCGAAATAACAGTGTTCTCCATTTATAAATGTTTTTTGGTATCATGCACTGTTTTATTTTATCCTCGTGCAAAGAACCCCGGCAAAGAACCGATGGATAGCGTGATTTCAAGCTTTTTTGTTTTTTGTTTGTGCTTCTTTGTTTTTTTTTTTGCGTTTTTTTTTTTGCTTTTTTTGTTTGTTTGTTTTGAAGAACCTGATCAGATTGTCAAGGTTCTTGCATACACGCGACGTTGTACTGCATAATGCMATGATTATCGACTTATGCTCGAGATGATTTACCAAATCCATAAGTCGATAATTTTCTTTGACTTCGGCTAAAATCTCTGTGTTATTTGCAACCAATTTTGTCATATTTGCTAAACTCTCTTTAGCTTTTTTAGCCGTCTCTTGGCATTTCTTATATTGCTTGAAGATGTTCCAGACTTGGAATGCTGGAATATAAAACAGTACCATTCGACAGTTAGTATTTTTTCCTGTCAGTTACTTGACACCATTGAACTGGTGCCGAGGCAACAGTCTCAAGCCGTTTCAAGTTGTCAAAGAACATTAACTGACACCAAGGAAAGAAATAGCATTACTAACATTAGTATGGTTGCTGATTTTGTATATTCAGACAAGTCATTGAGTTTACAGCTAGGGAGAAATATAGCAAACAATCAAGGGTGGATCCAGGGAGAGGTGATTAAGGGGAAAGCCGTTCGCTTTTTTAGGACACAAAAAAATAATAACAACTAAAGCACTGTTATCTTGATTCATTTTTTATTTCAGTTTATAAAATTTTCGATATATAACGCGCGCTTTGATTGGCTGACGACCTTGTTTATATAAGAGGACAGAGACACGGCTTACCGGAAAAATTGCTTTTCGCTCGAAAAATTTTATAAAAGAAATATAAAACGGCTGCTTGTGTCTCTGTCCTCTGATATAAACACGGTGGGAGTTGAAAAACACTCGAAAAGCAAGAGAAACACTCGCTAAGCTCGTGTTCCTAAGCTTGCTTCTCGAGTGTTTTTCGAACTCCCACCGTGTTTATATCAGAGGACAGAGACACGCGCGCCGTTTTAGATTTCTTAATTCAGCCACAACCCTTTGTAACACTCTGGATCCGCAACTGAAAAATACATGAAGCTTAAAACAGGCGATCTCTTTACTTTTGCAAAGTGAACTTGAAAATGGTGTCGCCAATGCAATATTGCTTACCTGAATTAGCAACACCCATCCATGGCGTAACCCTTTTAATAATGCTACCAAACACTTTGGACACTTTGGCAAGACCCCTTTTGAGTGAATTTCCTATGGCTTGAAGACCCCTGCCAAATCTAGTATTCATGATTTTACTCGCCCTGATTCTGCTGGACAGTCTTCCCAATCGGCCTTTCTGTTGAAATGTCAAAAGAAAACATCGTCACGTATCGTTTTTACGATTATGAATCCTGTTCGAAAATACATGGCAATGAGCAATGTGCAGGGACGCCATTGTGTACAGCAAAGCATTGATGGTAGTAGTACTCCTCAAGCATGTAGGCATTCTGTCTGCGCATGCGTGTGTCACGAAAGCATCTTCGAGAATGGGCACCATTTTTTTTGGAACATGTTCTTTTTCGGGTTTTTGCTAGACTAGATCGCAAGATTAAATACTTTTAATTGTAATAATTTCAATTAGAACCGAGAGTATTCACGAGTGACTACACTGGCTATTCTTTCGGTAGTTATATTCCTTGGAATGATCTGAAAATATCGAAATTCATTGAACATAACTTATGGTTGTCTTCGTTTTGATTCTGCCTGCTGTTCAATTCAGATTTTCTACCTTACAAGATATTGAGGCGAGTATTTATGTAATGAAGTTTCAATGTTGACAATATCAATCTTTACTTCATTGCTGCAGTATTTGCCTTAACTTCAGCGTCATTTAGCACAAAAATTTTACTTTCGCCCGTGAATAAAAACAGCAGTGAGTGAATATATTACTTCTAGTAATTTCAGAAATGAAGTCATTTTTAAAATATAAATTGCATAGCACGGATCGCTCGACGTTCAACCTTCGTGAATGGCTGCCGTCTCGTCGAGTTTTTAACCATTTTTGAGCTTACGTGTACCTCATATTTTCAAGTCTCTGGTCGTCGAAATTCCTGGAGAAGGTAAATGGAGTGTTTTTCTTTAAATGTGTTGATTTTAAGCAAAATAAAAGGTATTTTTTTCTCGTGAAAACATACTTTCAACTTTAATGAGAATTTCAATACAAACTTTGTCACTCTCATTGTTCTTGCTTTCAATTGAATAACATTCTATTTCTACTATCGCCCGTGCTTGTGTTTATCATCATTTTAAAGCTAAAAAGCTGTAAAATCGGGTGGGTATAGTCAAATTATTGAATAAATTGTGTGTGCTTTAGTAAAGCACTATCAATATGGTGCACATGTGTTGCTGAGTGAACTGTGAAAAAATAAAGTTCGTCGACATAAGATCGAATATGCACTTGGCTGACTTTTTTTCCCATAAACTACACAACCACTCTTTGACCTAACAAACTAGGTAGAATTAATAAACAATCAAAGCGAAGCAAGAAAGAGCACACTGCGAATTGAGACCGCCATGATTATTTTTTTGTTTACTTCACGCTCATCTACAAAAGGGCGCGAATCTGCTGGCGGTAAGCGACGCGGCCGTCCATGGGGCGGGCCCTTTCGCGCGCATGCGCAGACAGAATGTCTACATGCTGTAAGCCCTCACACTTCTTATACTAGAATCTTAAGACGAGTATGAAAATAGATGAGGTGACGGTTTTGTCCGCCATTTTGGACCGGTAGGCATAGTGTCGCAAAATAACAAGGAATGACCGGGAAATCSATGTCAAATAATTCTCGCTGAATTCAAATTCAGAAAGAATTTTCATTTGCAAACGTTAGATACTGCAAAAAGGAGTTAACTGGCCAAATTTGAAAGGCGTACTTGATCTAGAGAGCGAGTAAACTCATTTTTAGTTCTCCATACATTTCTTTGTAATTTCAATACATTTCGTTATAATTTCCGGGGTCATCAGTGCGTGACGCGCGTGAAAAATACAAAGAAATGTATTGAGAACTAAAAATAAATTTTCTCGCTCCCTAGACGAAGCACATCCTTCAAATTTGGCCAGTCAGCTCCTTTTTGTAGTATCTAACATGTGCAATTGATAATTCTTTCTGAATTTGAATTCAGCGAGAATTATTTGACATCGATTTCCCGGTCATTCCTTGTTATTTTGCGACACTATGCCTACCGGTCCAAAATGGCGGACAAAACCGTCACCTCATCTATAGCCCACCTCAACTTATTGGACTAAGGCCCCGTCATATGAAAGACCTTACTACAATTAATGTTTATTTCCAAGTTTAACTACATTTAGTGTAATTTGAATTTTGCAAAAATAAGAGAGTGCAAGATAGTTTTTGGTGTCTTTTACGTTCTTTTTATTTTTTCAAGTTTTAACGCTTGCTGCTCTGCAATAGATGAGGTGACGGTTTTGTCCGCCATTTTGGACCGGTAGGCATAGTATCGCAAAATAACAAGGAATGACCGGGAAATCGATGTCAAATAATTCTCGCTGAATTCAAATTCAGAAAGAATTATCAATTGCAAACGTTAGATACTACAAAAAGGAGCTGACTGGCCAAATTTGAAGGATGTGCTTCGTCTATGGAGCGAGAAAATTTATTTTTAGTTCTCAATACATTTCTTTGTATTTTTCACGCGCGTCACGCACTGATGACCCCGGAAATTATAACGAAATGTATTGAAATTACAAAGAAATGTATGGAGAACTAAAAATGAGTTTACTCGCTCTCTAGATCAAGTACGCCTTTCNAATTTGTGGCCAGTTATTACATTTGTGGCAATCTCGTTCCAGAGCCCGCGTTCCTCTTGGCCTGAGGGCGCGAGCAACCACGAACTCTGGCCTAATCCATATTTTTCATAAGATTTTCTGGTGTTCCGGTTAAATTGCGCATGCGTGTCAAAAAGAAAAATGGTGGAAAATTTGTTTTATAGTTCGCTAGATCACGGTCTAGCGGCTATAGGAATGCCAAATTTAGCTTTGAAAACCAAACAATTTGAAATTTTAGAAAGTGTTGTTGTGTTTGCCGTTAAAGACATTTGAAATTTTGAATTTTTTCGCTAATACTAACGAGATTTGTGGCGCACAGTCTACATAAATATCCAGAGGAACCGTCGTCTTCATGTATGTTAACTACTGAGCATACATCTTGCAAAGACGTTAAAACGCCCTCTCTCTTCGACTTCCAAACAAATCTACTTTGTAGCGATCTAAAAGTTTATTGCAAAGTCTGCAAGTATTATAAACTTGCTGCGTCGCCGCTTTCATTGATACACTCTGTTGCTACACTTAACAATTAATTTTTTGTTTACAATTTTGCAACATATTCAGTGGGGCTAAGACTCCTCGTCGCGCTCGCGCCCGAATTTTGGCGCTGTTTTTCGCAATTATGATTGGTCAAATTTTATTTCCGGAGACGTCCGCATTCGTAATGAGGAATTTCTATCGGCCAATGAAAAGCGCGCAAAATATGGATTAGGGCAGAGTTCGTGGTTGCTCGCGCCCTCAGGCCAAGAGGAACGCGGGCTCTGGAACGAGATTGACATTTGTGGCCTCTACAGTCTCAGTTAAAGTCTCACTTATGTATTAACTCTATATTCTTCAATTCGACAGAATCTTTACCGCCCAGAAGCAAACCTTATAAATGCTGTCAGATGTTTCGCTTCTGTTAACTAAAAAAATCACTTTCGTTATGTCATGGTTTGCTAATTAACGTAGAATCGTCACGGACATGCGCAACACGTTTTAAAGTCCGTGAGCACAGCCGTCAGGTGAGATATTATCGCGTACGCAATTCCGACGACTGAAGACTTAACCTGATTGGTTTAGTTTGAAATTGACCTGAATAGGTAGTCGCTATTCTCCA